CAATGAAGTTGGCAAGGCAAGACTACATCAGAGCTAGCATGCAAGCAGGTCGACTGCCAGCACAGCACGGTCGACCGCGCGCCAGCACGACTTGGTCGACCGCGTTCCAGCAGTGCAGAGTCGCGGCTTGCCAACGCTGCAGGTCGACGACGTGACAACAGCGCAAGTCGACGGCGCGCCAGCGTTGCTCCTGCAGTCCAGCATCGCACCCGCTTCGCAGGTGCTCGTAGGTGATTGGCGCGCACTGCTTCGTCACTTGCACAGCGCACACACCAAGTCCACCTCGTGCTGACGACTGCATCTGATGCACCACGTCGACCTCGGGATACCATCACCGAGGTCGTCCTCGCCAAAACCACCTGGGCGACCTTCGCAAGCCTTCGCAGCACCTCGTCACCCAGGTAACTTGGTCGACCAGGCAACCAGGTCGACCAGAGGCTCCAGTGCGTGCCCGTCGACCACCCAGGTCGACGACCACTTCCGGTCGACCTCCCAAGTCGACGGCCACCTCCAGTCGACCTCCCCAGGTCGACCACTACCCCCTGGTCGACCAGCTTCAAGTCGACGTCACTCCTGGTCGACCAGAAGGCCTGGTCGACGTCCCTGGTCGACCAGAAGGGCTGGTCGACTTCCCAGGTCGACCAGAAGGTTTGGTCGACGTCCCAGGTCGACCACGAGGTCTGGTCGACTTCCCAGGTCGACCAGAAGGTCTGGTCGACGTCCCAGGTCGACCAGAAAGGGCTGATCGACTTCCCAGGTCGACCAGCCGAAGTTGGCGCCCTCCTGAAGTCGGCGCCCATGCAGTGGCTCCCCGTGCAGGTCGACCAACCTCGTCGACCAACTCGCCCACTGCTGCAGGTCGGCTGCACCCCTACATCCGACCACGAAGTCGGCTCCGCCCAAGCGAGGACGGGGCCAACACCCAACTCCCGTTGACAGTATGTATGTATGGATGTATAGATGTATGTATGTATGTATGTATGTATGTATGTATGTATGTATGTATGTATGTATGTATGTATGTATGTATGTATGTATGTATGTATGTATGTATGTATGTATGTATGTATGTATGTATGTATGTATGTATGTATGTATGTATGTATGTATGTATGTATGTATGTATGTATGTATGTATGTATGTATGTATGTATGTATGTATGTGTGTATGTATGCATCTATGTATGTCTCACCCGCATGTCAGCATCCAGCAGCACGTTAGCAGGCTTGACATCGCGGTGCACGATCCGACGACTGTGGAGGAAGCTCAGCCCATCCGCCACGTCCACCAGAACTGCCAGCCTCTGCCGCAGCGACATGGGCTTGGCTCCTGGGAGGTGGGGGACGGGGGCATGGGGAGAAGAGTAGGGTGGGAGTCTGAGATTGGCATGGCCCCTGCGAGGGTACAGGCATGAGGAGTTTAAGGGGCATGCAGAATTAGGGGTTCGTGAGGTGAGAGGGGCTTGGCTCCTCGGAGGTGCAAGGATGGGGGAACAGAGGGATGAGGGCATGAGGAATTAGGGGTGTGGGAGTGAGAGCATAGCTCACCTGGCTTGGCCCTAACATCACCTGGCTTGGCCCTAACATCACCTGGCTTGGAAATAACATCACCTGGCTTGGCCCTAACATCACCTGGCTTGGCCGCAAACTCCCCTGATTTTGCCTTAAGATCACCTGCATTGGTCTTGTGTGAGAGGTCCCCATTGGGCATGGACTGGGGCACGGTGAATTGCTCCATCTGCCTCCCTGAAAAGAACTTATGTGATCTGATTGGAAGCCTTGCTTGCTTAACCTCACCTGGACTGGTCCTGTGTGAGAGGTCCCCGTTGGGCATGAACTGAGACACGATGATCTGCTCCATCTACTCGTATCCATGCAATACCCCCTATGTGTTTTGATTTGCAACTGTTTACACCAGTCTCACCTGGACTGGTCCTGTGTGAGAGGTCCCCATTGGGCATGAACTGGGACACGATGATCTGCTCCATCTTCCTGCGTGCAATACTCCCATGCAATTTGCATCCCAGCCTTGTTGACTTAACCTCACCTGCACTGGTCCAGTGCGACAAGTCCCCATTGGGCATGAACTGGGACACGATGATCTGCTCCATCTGCCGGCTGCTCTCGTTGTAGTCAATGCAATACCCCAGCAGTGGCACAAGCCTTGGGTGCTGCAGCCGCGCCATCGCTTTCACCTGGGGGTGGGGGATTAGGAATGAGGAGAAAAAGAGGGCGAAATGAGGAGGAGGAGGCGTGGGTGAGTGTAGTCACTGCAGTGCCCCAGCAGTGGCATGACCCTGTACACATCAGTTTAGCCACATAGGGTCAAGCCTTTGTCGCCCCTCATCTTCCCCCTCTCCACGTCTTCTGTGAGGTTTCTGCAGAGCCTGTTGCACTTTGACAGTCGACACTTCCCCACACTGGTCCACACCGGTGCACACCACCACACAACCAATCCAGTTGACTCCCTGTACCTCCTCCTTGAAGTCATTTAAGAACACACTGACGCAGTTTACCGCCGTCACCACCTCCAGGTCCATGTGAAAGCACGCCCTTGTAGAGATGACTTTTGAGTCGACTCAAAAGTCAATTCATGGCCCACACCACCTCCGGCTCCGGGTCCATGTGGAAGCACGCCCTTGCAGCTACATAGTACATCCCTTTGCTACCTCACAACTCTCCCTACCTATTTCCCCTCACATTTTCCTCACCTCCGTCTTGAAGTCATTAGAGGCCATGGTGGCACGCATAACGGTCCACCGCACCTCTGGATGAAGTAGGTCCACGCCCTTGTACACGTTGCTGCAGCCCAATAGTGCCTTACCTTAGCTTCCAAGCCCTCTACTTCCCCCCCCCCGGCCCTCTACTCCCCCCACTCTCACCCACCCCTTCCCCTCACTCCATCCCCACCCTCCCCTCACCCACTCCCATCCCCTCACCTCCTTCTTGAAGTCATTAGAGAGCATGGTGGCGCGCTTGACAGCCCACAGCACCTCTGGATCGCTCGGGTCCACGCCCTTGTACACGTCGCTGAAGCCACCCGAGCCGATCAGGTTGACCTCCGAGAACAAGTTGGTGGCCTGCTGGATTTCAGCGAGGGAGTATTGCTGGCACGCTGGGGGAAGAGGGCGTGGGGGGGGATTGGGTGTGGAAAGAGGAAGGCACTTGTCAGGAATTTGAGCCCACTAGGTTGACCTCCAAGAGGAAGTTTGTGGCCTGCTGGATCTCCGTTAGAGAGAACTGCTTGCACGCTACGTGAGGAAAGAAGGGGTGCAGGTACAAGGAGGTGTAGAAGTTGTGAGCATTGGTACCATGGGAACAGAAGGGGTGGGTTGAAACTTCGATCGGTGGGGGAGATGGGGCAGTAAAGTAAAGAGAATGAGGTAAAGGGGGGTTAAAAGGAGAAAGGGGTAAAATCTGAGATTATAAGAAGCAAACAAGAGAAAAGGTAGAAAGGAGAGATAACTATGAAGAGAAAAAGAGGAAAGAAGAGAAAAAGAGGGTGAAAGCAGAGACAAAAAGGACTCCGATTGAATTTGTCTTCAAGAGCCCATGCCTTTGGAACCTAGCTGCATTGCAACCTGAGTGAGCTTCTAGCTGGATGAAGCGTGGTGGGGGAGGCTGAGGCAGACTGCATCCAAACTAGCGTGGACAGAAAACACAGGTAAGATATGCGAGAGAAGAAAGCACGTGACATAGTAGTACCTAGAAAGGGACGCACCAGGTTCAGTTGGGCGGAGGAGGAACCAGAGGAGAAGGGCGAGGGCGACGATTGCAAGGAGTGCCGCCACCACTATGCCAGCTATGGCTCCCGCAGAGAGACCGCTGCTGGATGTGGTGGAAGTAGTTCCTGAGGAGGCATGAAAGGGGAGAATATAACATGAGGGAGAGAGGAGGAATGTAGTGAGGAGAGGATGGAGTGGTTGTGCAGCGTAGCTGTGGCTGGCCCTTCTCCTAGATCACTCATTCTTTCATGCACGGCACTTATAACTCCGTTGAACTCTTGGGAGGAGGGAAGCAGCGATTGGAATGAGGGTGCTAGAAGAAGTGTGCAGGAGGGACAAAGGGAGCAAAATCAGCAGGAGGCGCACCAGAGGGAGACGAGGAGCAGCCAAGGCAGTAGCTCTGGCACACGTGGTAGGTGGTGTTGGGCGCAGACGAATTGGCTGGCGGTGCAGTAGGGGGCAACGGGCCGGCGGGAGGTGGAGAGGCGGCAGGGCAGGTGGCACTGTCGTTGCAGAAGATGCTTGGTGTGCCGTACCTGGTAGGTAATGTAGGAAGGTGTGAGGCCAAGGCCAGTGGCGTGTGAGGAAGATGTGAGAGCAAGGCATGGGGCAGGTGCCATGCCAGTGCGCCACTATCTTACTCGAGGTGTTTAGCTTCTCTATCCAGATGAAAGCCCAGACTGAGAAGGGTGGGTCACCCCAGATGAAAGCACTGTGTAAGCTAAGATGAAGAGCTGTAACATTTAATCTTGCATAAACAAGCATGATTAGAGTATTTAGGGTTGGAATGGAAGGAGTGTCTCACAGGGCCTGCAGCTGCGACAGGCTGTTGACGCCCCATGGCACTGACCCCGCTACCCCCGTGTAGCTCAGATCCCTGCAGTGAGAATCAGACAGATGCAGTGTGGGGGGTTAGTGGAGGGAACATGGGTGCTGGTTTGGTGATTGATGCCCCATGGCACTGACCCAGCCACCCCGGTGTGGCTCATATCCCTGCAGTGTGAATTAGTCAAGTGCAGTTGAGAGAGGAGGATTGGGGTAGGTGGGGGTGTAAACACGGGGGGGAACATGGGTGCTTGAGTGGTGATCAATGACCCATGGCATGATGGCACTGACCCAGCCACCCCTGTGTAGCTTAGAAATGGGTTCGGCTTGCGTGTGTAGTTCAGCTGTTTTGTGAGGCGAGGCGAGGCTATGAGAGTGCACAGCTTTGGGGAATTACAGGAACAGCAGGTCTGGGGTGTGAGTCTAAGAGTGTTCAGGCTGAATTCTTACAGGAAAATCAGGTTGGAAAGCGAGGTGAAGGAATCAGGAATGGGGCCTGTGAGGCTTGAGCGGCTTAGGTTCCTGCACAGGTGGTGTGATGTGTGAAGGATAAGTAAATATGAGTCAAAAGGCTGCAAAAAGGATGCGAGGTTCCTACTCGCTGAAAGGGACAGATGTGTGTCAGCTGCGCGAGATGAATGGCGAGTAGGGAGAGTATGGTGAGCTCTACATGGCACGATGCGGCAGCCTGTGGTGGAGCGGGAAGCCTTCACATAAACACAAGGGACAGGTCTAGAAGGAGGACCACCATCCCAAGGAAGGGGCCTTATTCAAACCAGCGTACGTGAAAGGATGTTGGTTTATATGGATGATGCTACACCCAACAAACCAAGATGCTACATGCAAATCACGAAAAATCAAACCACCATGATGCGACATCCAAGGCACCATGATCCTAGAAAGAAATGGCGTGATGGTACAGTTGGTTGGTTCAAGGAGAGGAACAAGTTTGGTCGTATGTGGGCATACAGGGAGGTGAGAGCTGTGAGCCGACCGATGCTGGTAGGAATGGAGTCTGAAATGCCGTTACGACTCATGTCCCTGCAAGTTATTTGGCATACATAATCGTGATGGGAAGGATTTATTGTGGACACATTACGAACACACAAATCAATAGAATTGAGATCACATCACTCACAGGCGCATCACTCACACGCACATCACTCACACGCACATCACTCACACGCACATCACTCTCACATGTCCATCACTCACATGTGCACGAGAACGGTCAGACTTCCGAAGGCAGATGGGATGGGCCCAGACAGCTGGTTTCTGCTGACGTCACTGTGGAGGGAGGAGAGAGAATAAAGGAAAGAGTGAGAAGGGGCTGAGGAGTGCGATTTGAGGTTAAGAGGAGATTGCTATTGCAAGCGACCTGTAAACTCTCTGTCAGCAGAGAAAAATAGCTCAATCGAGCAAAGGTTGACGCTTGAATGAATAAGGAGATTGAGGCTTTCTGCGTGCATTTTGACACTCTTCTTGCATTTTAAGATTTCCTCTTGCCACTCCTCTCCATAAGTGAGAATCCATGGGCACTCATGTATGTGTATGGCTTTATTTTCTAATGATGAAATAGTTTGCAGGCGTGTTCGCCTAGAGTTTCCACTTTCATCTTTGCGATGCTCTTATGGCCTGGCCTTCAGGTATGTAGTGATTCTTACAGGCACGTCAATTTTTCCAGAGCTCCCAGGGATGCAGAGAGGGTGTCAGAAAGCGAGTTGGTGCTGAGATTGCTGTGCAGGTGGCAGGGTGAGACAGGACGGAAGGGCAGTACAATGAGCAACATATAGTGAGCGCCGTCCATATTTGAAGCAGTGATGGTATGGAGGTGAGCGACTGAAATGAACAAGTGGGGACGCTGGCGATTGGTACACACATAGAGACTAGATTTTGCAACGTACAGCACAAAACGCAGGTGTCCTAGGCACCTCACAATCAGGCAGCTTCTAAAAGTTCACTCACAGCCTCTGTAAGGACGTGAGCACACTCAGGAAGTCTGGAATGCTACCACTGAGAGAGTTGCCACTTAGGTCCCTGCCAATGACAGCATGCCACGTAGATATTCACAAGGAGAGAAAGGTTCCAAAGAGGCAGAGATAGCAAGATTGAAGCCATGAGACCGCTTTCACGCGAACAAATGTGAATTTTCCATGAATGCGGGAAACGAACGGTCTTACAGGAAGTTAAGGAGCTTGAGGGCTTGGAGGGCGGAAGGGATGGCTCCTGAGAACTGGTTGCCACTCGTGTTTCTGTTGGGGGAGGGATGGCAGGAGGTGTACGGGAGGTGTGTGAGGAGGCGCTAAGGAGGCAAGGCATGTGGCGATGTGTGAAAGAAGTGCGTAAGAAGGTGTACGACGAGGTGTAGAAATGAGGCACAGAAGGGTCCTCCTAACGACCAGCTGGAGCAGCTGGTGAACGCAGCTGGCGCATCAACAAGGTATTCCAGTGGCACGCACAGGGATGCATAAGGCTCACGAGAAAGAAAGAAATAAGAGACTGCAAATGTCACTCACAGGGATGTAAGGGCCACGAGACTGCTCAGCTCTGAAGGAAGCGGTCCAGAAAGGCTGTTGCGGCTGACATTCCTGCGGAGCAAAACGGATGGCATGGTTGTTTGCACCGGCGACAGTGCATATACATTTGTGAGCAATCTTTGCAGCATGTGCATTTGTAAGGATCTGGAATCTAAGTTGTACCAGGGAAAAGGTCAGCTCGTGTGGGCTGCCAGATGTGGTTCGCACTTCCTCTAAACTCGCTTTGCCACCCTCTGCACGTGGCACACTATCGTCAGCCGCACGTTTTGCAGTGCTAAGGTGCAGGTCCCAGGGAGATCGGAGTGCTGGAGTGAGAGTGAGGTTGAGAATGGTTGCACCAGCGTGCTCTTACAATGAGGCAAGGCTGCTGAATTGTGCAATGTTCTGTTGGAATCCTCCTGTGAAGCTGTTGCTGCTGAGGTCACTGTTTTTAATCACAGAGAGTAAGATGGTTACAGGAGGAAGAGATCTTAAATTGCCCACGACATGAATGTGATGTGCCCGCCCAATCCCTTCAAAACGAGTTTGAACTGAGATTTCTCATAATATTTCATTCTGGTTTGTTTATGTGTATCTGCTGCCTTTTCCTCCTTAGGTAAACAATCATCTCAGCCAAAACGCACTTGTATATGGATTTCACAGGAAAATCGGGATATCAAGAAAAGGAAATCAGATACTGTAGAGCAGTGGAAGTGATTGGTTGGTTTGCAGTATGCGAGTTCGAGCGGCGTACACAGTCGAAACGTTGGACGGGAGGTTGGGAAGCGACCCCTCAAAGTAGTTGTTTTGCAAATACCTGTCATCATTCCCAACCACCATGCACGGAACATGGCATAAAAGGACGCATGCACACCGCCCATATGATGCGGGATTATGTTGATTGGCAGTGGGCAATGAGATAGCAGCAGCTGCAGCAGAAGCAGAAGCGAGGCGTGGCGGAATGGCGTCCAATCAAGGCTAAACACATGCCCTCAGATGCCTCTTGGCATATTGAAGAACCAAGGCACAGGGAAGGTATAACACGGGGACTGACAGGATGGTGAGGGCGGTGAGAGCGCTGATGGTGGCAGGAAGGGAGCCCGAGAGGGAGTTGTTGCTCAGGTCCCTGCAGTGGCCATGCCATGCGACAACAAAGCGGCTGGGAGCGGTGCTTTTGGATTAGCCCTGCTGAAATGCAAGAACACCACTTCGATTTTGTCAAGTGTTAACTGCACACAGGCTAGTAATACCCGCCTGGCATAATGAGGAATCGGGCCAAGCACTTTCCTCATGCGCTCCCTCCCAGGGGTGTCATTTTTGGGTGATTGGGGTACCAAATGACCACAGAACTAGACAGTGTAAGCGGCCTGGTTGACTTAATGTTCTGTGGTTTAGCTTCTGCTGCGAGAACACTCACAGGGTGGTAAGGCTGGTAAGTCTGGAGAAGCTTTCAGGGAAGGATCCTTTCAGGTCATTGCTGCCAAGGCCGCTGCAGATGGGATGATTCAACACGGAAAGAAGGGCATGACGGTGAATATTATCAAGCATGAAGTCCAAAAGAGAAGAAATGGCAGCGGCGTGCACATGCGTTTGAGTGCTCACAGGTGATTTAGTGCTCACAGGTGATTTAGTGCTCACAGGTTATTGAGTGCTCACAGGTGATTGAGTGCTCACAGGTGCTCGAGGGCAGGGCTCTGGCCCAGCTCAGCAGGTACGTCACCCGAGAGGCTGTTGTTCTCAAGAATGCTGCATGATGCACACAGACGTCATATAAACAGAGAGGCATACAGGGCCAAGTTGAAATTTGGCGAAATCAATCAAGGATATGAGAAACAAAACCTTATACGGAAGAAATGGATCAAACATATGTATCAAACATATGTGTCCCCTCGTCCTCGGGCGAAGAAACGAAATGGCTGAGGTTTTAAGAGATACTTACAGTTTTGTCAAGCCAGTAAGGGTTGCAAATCCAGAGGGAATGGGCCCACTCAAGTGGTTGTTGCCTAAATCCCTGCCAGTTTCATATTGCATTCAAGAGGTGGGAAGTTAAGCAAGGGTTTTGCAAGAATGGGGTCACTCCAGTCACGTTCGATTCTGAAGTGTGCATTGACTCGCTTTGGTTGAATCCAAACACACACCACTCCAACCAGGAGCACTCACACACCACTCTGACTAGGCGCACTGACACTCTACTCTACTTGACCAGGCTCTTGGTTTGTGTGATATTGTTCTGCATGTCAACGGGAGTTGGGTGTTGGCCCCGTCCTCGCTTGGGCGGTGCCGACTTCGTGGTCGGGTGTAGGGTGCAGCCGACCTGCAGCAGTGGGCGAGTTGGTCGACGAGGTTGGTCGACCTGCACGGGGAGCCACTGCATGGGCGCCGACTTCAGGAGGGCGCCACCTTTGGCTGGTCGACCTGGGAAGTCGACCAGCACGTTTGGTCGACCTGGGAAGTCGACCAATCTCTTCTGGTCGGCCTGGGACGTCGACCAGACCCTCTGGTCGACCAGGAGTGACGTCGACCTAGATCTGGTCGACCAGGGAGTAGTGGTCGACCTGGGGAGGTCGACTGGAGGTGGCCGTCGACTTGGGAGGTCGACCGGCACGTACCAGAGGCAGTGGTCGACCTGGGAGGTCGACCGGAAGTGGTCGTCGACCTGGGTGGTCGACGGGCACGCACTGGAGCCTCTGGTCGACCTGGTTGCCCGGTCGACCAAGTTACCTGGGTGACGAGGTGCTGCGAAGGCTTGCGATGGTCGCCCAGGTGGTTTTTGGCGAGGACGACCTCGGTGATGGTATCCCGAGGTCGACGTGGTGCATCAGATGCAGTCGTCAGCACGAGGTGGACTTGGTGTGTGCGCTGTGCAGGTGACGAAGCAGTGCACGCCAATCATCTACGAGCACCTGCGAAGCGGATGCGATACTGGACTGCAGGAGCAACGCTGGCACGCCGTCGACTTGCGCTGTTGTCACGCCGTCGACCTGCAGCGTTGGCAAGCCGCGTCTCTGCACTGCTGGAGCGCGGTCGACCAAGTCGTGCTGGCACGCGGTCGACCGTGCTACGCTGGCAGTCGACCTGCTTGCATCCTAGCTCTGATGTAGTCTTGCCTAGCCAACTTCATTGTATCATTGTTGTCAACTTTCTCTAGTGAAACTCTTGCCAAATTTCCTTGTGAACTAGCAAGTAGTGTGCGCACTAGGAAAACGACTAAGGACCAACGAACGCAGAGATCACACGAGCATCCGTGCCTAGCCCGTAGTCTAGCTCCCGTTACTAGAGTTATCTCCGCATGGTGCGGTGAGCGTGGACGGCACAACGACTTACCTTTCAGTCTAGTCGACTTAGTTGCACCTTACCTAAGTTGTTCGTAGGCCGGCAGCTGTGCGGTAGTCGCCATGGTAGGCGCCATAGGTGACACGGGGGTGGTGGACACCCTGGAGGCACGGCTGGAAAACGCGAGGAGGAAGCACGAGGCCAACGAGTATGGCGACCTGCCGTGGGCGGTCGTCGAGGCTGGCATCCGTTCCTTGTGGGCGACGGAGCACCCTTCTCGGCCTGCTTCTCCTCGACCGGTGAACACCGAGGGCGGCGTCGATGTGGGCGTCAACGCCGGAGGCGACCAAGTCGGCAGCAGTGCGGGAGGCACGTCGTCGAGGCAGCGTGGTGTGATTCACGCCGACGAAGTCGGCGGCGTTCAGACGCGAGGAATGCGGTCGTTGGCGGCTGCAGGGTTCTCGCAGGGCGACGTCGGAGGTCGACGGAGTGGGTCCGTGCCGATGTCGGCAACCCAGGTGACAGCAGGCGGGATTGCACCGAGCTACGGCTACTTCAAGTTTACGCCGGATAGGATCTCGGTGACTCCCCTACTGGTCGGCCGACCCGACATTCTCACCTGGAAGGAAGCTATTGAGCCCCAGCTGGAGATGGCCGGGCTCATCAACTTTGCTCGTGGTACCGTGGCGACGCCGAGCGACCCCGACTTGCGTGCGGAGTTCCGCGCCGTGCAGCTGCTGACCTTCACGGTCATCTCGCGGTGCTGCACGCCGGGCGTGCAGATCGCCCTGAAGTGGTGCAGGGAGTACCTCGACGCCGGCCACCAGGCGTGGCACTTCATTGAGTCGACGTACCAGGTCACCGACGACCTGTTTATCGCCCAGCTTGAAGGGCAGCTGACGCACCTGCGCATGGGCGACGAGGAGACGGCGACCGACTACTGCAACCGGGCCCGGCGAATTCTCGCCACCATCAGGATGGCCGGTGCGGAGTATTCGACGGCGTCGTACATCACCCATGTCATGCAGGGACTCCGGAGCAGCTACAACCTGTTGAAGCGGCTGTCCATGGCGCCGAGCACGAGGGCGACGCTCAACGAGGACAACCTAACCTCGTACATCCTGCAGGACGAGGCGATGCAGGAGGCTGAGCGGTCCCAGGAGCTCTTGGCGCAGGCAAACTTTGTCGCCCCGGCGAAGCAAGGCGGTCGACCGGGGCAGCGTGGACAGTCTGGCGGCAGTGGTAGCGGTGGCTCGAAGTCGGCCAAGGAGGTCGACAAGAAGAAGTCGACCAAGGACAGTGGCCGGGGAGGAGGAAGTCGACGTCGGGAGTGCTGGCTGTGCGGCGACCCCGATCACCTCTCCTTCGAGTGCCCCGACCGCAGTGACTCGGACGACGACGACAAGGGAGGCCACAGGAGGTCTGGCAGTCGTCGATCTCGTCGAGGAGGAAGTCAGCCGCGCAAGGAGAAGCAGTCGACCAAGTCGTCGACCTCGGCGAAGGACGCCGACTCCTCTGCTAGCGGCAAGGGGAGCAACGACAAGTCGGCGTCGTGCTCTCTGGTCGGCGTCGTGGAGCCGACCGTCTCACTGGCGCCGGAGGCTGGTGAGGATTTCCAGGCGATGGCAGCAGCAGTGCAGGCGAACCCGGCGGTGGTCTTGCTGGACAGCGGCTGCTCCCACCACCTGATGGGGACCAAGGACGCCTTCGTCGACCTGGGGCCGAGCGGCGACTTGAAGCACGTGCGTGGCTTCAATGGAGTGCTGCAAGACGTCCGAGGCCGGGGCACGGTCGCCTTG